TTTTCAGTAAAGATTTCATCCACAGAAAACTTCTATATATATATATATATTGGAAAATTTCTTATTTTACGCATTTATTTTCTATACACTACAATAAATAATTTACTATTTTTTTGAATAATTTATTAAATTTGCCATTTTATATTCGAAAAAAAATTTGTAATTTATTAAAAGCTCTGGCTCTATTACAATAGCATAAACAAGAAGCCCAGGTGGTCCGGATCCCTCTTACCTTTTTAAATGAATAAATGAAAAAAAAATCAAATAGGTATAGGAGAAATATATGAATGTGACAAATACACTCGTAAACATGGTATACACAAGCTTGGTGTGGGACCAGGAATTAGAGGGGAAAATATTCTCTACGTATTCATATAAAAAAAGGGGAAATAGGGATTCCCCTTTTTTATATGAAATACGTAGAGAATATTTCTTTATTAATAAAAAGCAAAATTATTTTATAGGGATAAGAACCATTACGAGCTTTAAGTTTTCTGCAGACGTGTGGAAAAATCCTCAGCCCCCCTTTTTCAATAGGTATGCTTATACACACACATACACTCACACACCATATATACAATATATAGGAGTCATCCATAGCATCACATCATTCTTCATTCACAGCTACAGTAGCTGTGAATGAAGAATGGGATACATGGATGTAATTTTGCACGTTCTAATTCGATCTCCTCTGTAGTTCTATAAATTACAGAAGGTAACAGAAGAAATCCTTAACTATCTTCAAAAATTTAGAGAAACAATTTTCCAAGAATTTAATACAATCTCCTACCTTCGAAGATTTAATAAAAAGAAATTCTTTAGTTTTTCGAGGAAACACAACAATAATATTATTTTTAGTGAAATTTCAAATTTTCTTTCTACTCCTGTGATATATAAGTAATGTTATGAGAATGTATGACTATAAGCTGAAACGAACATATTTCATGTTAAAATTTCGCTACGCAATCTCAACTTGCGGGGTTACTTGAGACTCTAGAGAATTATAAATAACACGTATAAAGAGTTACAATATTTATAGCATTTATAAAATAGGAAACATTTTATTCTAGATAACAATTTTATAAATCATATGTCAGGCCTTGTCATCCGGCAGTTCCCATTGTGTGCCTGGCCAAACTCACGAAGGGTCTAGAAAAAAGACCCTAGTATTCCACAGTACACTGAACGACTGGGTCGTCGCGAGTGGAAAGCTGGGGAGTTTTCCCCGGTCCTGTGAAAAATTAGAGAGGCCCGTAATAATTTCTACCGCCTATAAAATTAACGTTATTTTTACTATTAGAAAATAACATTTTTTAAAGACTGTTTCTTACTAATAAAGAAATATTCTATGTATTTCATTTGTTCAAAACACAAACGACTGAAGGGATTCGCTAAGAGGTAAAAGGAACCGCTCTTTTTCGGATCCCATACGACACCGTTGCAGAATTATCTTATAGTGAAAGAAATGTCAAAAGGATTTTGCTATCAAGATAAAATATACTTATTTTATCTTCACATAAAGCTTGTTATTTTATATATAAATACTCTTTTTAAGCTATAAAAGTTGTTATTAATAATAAGACAAACTGTTATCGATTTTAAAAATTCCTAGTTACAACAAAATTAGTATTAAAATTCTTAAGAAGTCTATCAATGTTAATTATTTTAATAAATTCAAAAATACTAATTTTAAAGTTTAATTTAGTTTATTGTAGCTCTAAGCTTAAGTATGTAAAAAGCTCTCTCTCTCTCTATATCAAATAATAACTTGTGAAAATCTTGCTGTAAGTTGTTTAATTTATATGTAATTTATATACTGGCTAATTAATTTATATAATTATCTCTAATATACAACTTGGTAAAAGCAACGATGATTTTCGACATAGGGAATTTAAGCTTTTCGTCTGTCCTCGAACAGACACAAGTACAGTATATGTTTGCGTCTATCTTATTCTAGTAGGCCTACTTGGAATTTTGTACTAACTAGCTTGATTCCTATAGCTTATGCAATAACAGGTATTTCAGGATGTGGGTTTTATATCACAGAAACTTGCATTAAAAAGGTGTACAGTACGTGTTTACGCTTTACAAGACTTCTCAAAACCTAAAACCACTGACAAATTAGTAAACAAATAAAATTTTTATTATTTTATATAACTTAATTACTCTAGCATTCACAAATTAAAAGTCAAATACTCTATCTTAAAAGTGTGCTTTTTAAATTACTAAAGTCATATTTTGTAAAATAATTTAAATAAATTTTTTAACCAACTGAACTGTTTAAAATAATGCAAGAAAGAAAGAATGCCCAAAAATTTTCCATACAGGTATATTTCCTATTGCAAGAAAAGTATATAAAAATATTCTTGCAAATAATACAATAGAATCCACTTATTTTAATCACGTAGGCTTATATCTTTATCAGTCGTTTAATGTTATCAGAATTAGCACGTCTCAAAACATAAAATCAGAGTTCGGTTATTACTATCGTTATCTGTATGTAAATAGGTTTAAGCTGTCTTTTCTCAATATGAGAAAGTCTTAACCAGTACTTTAAAAATTTTTATTACCGTTTTCTTGTAACAGCTATTGTTGCTATTTCAACTTGTAGAAATAAAATAGCAACAGTACTTGTTTCAAGAAAGCGATAATTCAATCTTTTAAACTCTATCTATTTAACTTCTATTGTTTAGAGACGTTATTGAAAGAAAACAGCGAACAAACGATACTAGATGAATAAAATATTAATAAATCTTCAAATTGCATATACTTGTATGTTTAAATGTTTTAATACGTTATTTTAATGTTGGAGTCGATAAAAGCCAGAGTGTGTTTTTTACTTCTTGGGAGAAATCTGTAAAGTTTCTGATATGGAAATTCCCGGGAATCCTGGAAAATTTCTGAAGGTTGATTTCCTGGAAAAATGAACTCAAATCCTGGGAATTTTTTTAAACTTTTAAAATTTGACATTTTAAGTTTTCTGACGGAAAATATTTTATACACATTTTTGCAACTAATAGTTATTTTCATTCTTGAACTAAAATTTTCATGTAAGCTACTGTTCGTGCAGAAAAAGGCTATAAGAGACTTTTGGGATGATTTGACTGTGATGTTTTATTCACAGAATATTCTTAATATATCTGTATAAAAGTTTAATATTTCGTTTATAACAAACTTTTCTATAGTTTTTATATATTTTTCGAAGTATTACATTGCCATAATATTTTTTAAGATACGAGTAAAGTCCAAAAATATTTAAAATTTTTAAGGTCTATATTTTTTAATAAAAATTTCCGCTTTGCGGACATTAACAAGGAGTGTTTGTGATTGTAAAAACTAATAATAACTTTGTTATTTTTTACAGGATCCTAATAGAACGGACGGATGGCCGAGCAGTTTGGCTGACATCCTACCACTCTGGAAATTCGAGATTCGACCCGTCAGGATTTGTTTTGAGGGTCGAAAAACCCCAGGAATTTTTTAGAAGGGTAGTCCTCCCGGATACTTCGGTCACGTCCCTCGCAACCCAGCACCCCATTGTGGACCTAACCTATCCCACGATGGGATTGATGAAAACAAGCCCATAGGAGAAAAGTGTTCAAAATAAAAAGAAGAAAAATATGTCAATTATGTTTGTTGTTGCGTAAAATGTGAAATTTAATAATATTCATCAATACATTGATATAATAATAGGTAAAAACCATTTTCTAATTATTTTCTTCAATTTAATTAAAATTTTTTTCCTACTAATCCATTAAATTCATAATAAATTTATAAAAAGCAAAAATATTTCAATTATTTTTTCTAAATTTTACTGGCAGATATTTTTTCAAACTTATTCTGCCTTGTGGGCACTAGGGGAACTTTCTTTTTAGCAAGCTCATTATGGGTACTGACAGATATTAATTTTAGTTAAAGACGAATATAGAGGCTAGAGCACGTGGAAATATTGCGGGAGTGATCTTTTTGTCGTTCATTTCAAAACTCATTTTTATCTACAAAACTATTTAATCAGATTTAACTTTTTTGCAATACAGTACTGTAGTTTGGAAAATTCAATCTTCGAATTCCGGTATTTCCCGTTCAATGGCGCTTCTCGTTTCCAGAAAATATAAAATCTGTATAATCCAGAAACTCCAAAAATAATCCAGCACTGAAGCCTGAAAAGCCTATTGTGCCGGGATCGACCGGACGCTGAGAGGCGACAAGTGGCCTATCCAGTACCCATCCTACCTGTGAATTCACTCTGCCTCGTGAATTTTCAGGGGCTCTCTCAGTCTCTTCAACTAAATCCAGTTGCAGTCACACAACCCCAGAATCCCAAGAGGGTCTCTTATTTTCTAGTAAATAATGTAAGATTAATACAATATCGGATTCATACATTTTTAGAGGGTGATGCAAAAAAATATACCTTACAACAGCGATGTGATCGTGCCAGGGCGTCACCCTGGTGCTTTTTTTAAGCAGGACGAAGCCCTTGAAATTTGTGAACATCTTGGTTGACTTTAAACTATTGTGTATACTTCGGCCAAAAAACAGAAAATTTCTTCTTATACAGTTTTTTTTTTTTTTGTTATACGAATATATGGATTATTTTGGCGCATTTTTTAAAGCTTTTTGCAGATATTACGCCACAAAGTTAATCTTTGCCCATACAAAACTCCATAGACAGTCACGATTCAAATTGAAAAGGCAGATGGTATATTAACAATATAAAAACAACAGAAGAATCGAAGTCGTCTTCCTTTTCATCCTGTCCAATCAAAACCTTTTGTTCCTGGTGATTGGTTAGGACGAAAAGAAAGACGACTTAGATTCTTCTTTTAATAATGTTTTATTATCTCAGGTATCCGACTTTACCCCGGAAAAACCCCCAGAAGTTGCAGCTGTGCCCTGAAGATCCCTTAAATTCATCCCCGGAAAAATGCATAGAAAACATTCAAAATTCTAAGTATTTAAATTACATATTAACATAGTTCTTGAAATAAGTTCTGTCTCACCCTTTTTTTCTTTTTTTGCGGATATTCTTCAGCATTTTTTCCTGTGTGATCAATAGTAACAGGATCGATTGTAACTGGACGAGCAATTGCTTGGAGAACAAACGTTACAGATAGCATCCCATTACAAAGCAAATAAATATTGATAAATAATTGTTACGAAATTAATTCAATAACTAATTTTAAATATTCTCTTCTATAATTTATACAATTTATTTATAAAATTTTAAATGTACCAGTAAATATATTAACGACTTTTTACTTGATTTATATAATTAAAAACTAATTTAACGAAGAAAAACATTTAAAATGACAATTTAAAAATATAATTTTTTTACTCTTTCTTTTCACTATTTTTCGTTTAAATTTGCTTATTTTTCTTTTTAAAATTTACTTTCGAAGCGGTATATTTGTATTGGATTCACGTAAAGATGGTTATTGAACACCCCTTCGATATAAATGTACTGTTCTAAAACAGTTACGTCAGTCAGTATAAATAAGTTGGTCGCACAATAGTTCATTGTGCATTCTTACCTGCATAACAAATTCAATTGAAATTCTGTTATATCCATTGTTATAAAGGTACGACAAACATATGCAAATAGTTGAATAGTGTAGTTTGATGATGAAATAAAAAATGTCAAAGTCTTTATTCCACTGCATGAATTCATAAATTGTTCAATGAAAACATACAAGCATTTGCAGAGCATTTGTTTTGTAAAAGACGGATCTGGCAAATTAGCGAATATATAATTTGCTATTTCATCTAATTTCTTTTTTACAATGGGAATAAATTCCATGATGTGTTATAATTCCAGTAATATTCCGTTAACTGATCAGTAGCATAAATAGAATCGATATTACGAGTCCCTAAATTAGAATGTGCAAATCTACATTTACCTCCTGTCCCATTGTGGATGCAGGCACTAGCACTACGAATGAAGAGTAAATTCTTATATATTGTTATACATATGTATAAGTGCACTTGTCACATTTAAATCTAACTAACCAGTAGCCGAGTAGATGAAACTATTGAACACTTTTGCGAGGGCTGCCACGTAGAGTTTTTCTGGTTTTCGTTACTTTTTAACATTTTTTTTTTTTCAGATTTTACTGTTTATTTGTAGAAATGTTTGTCGTTTCTGTTGTTATATTCCTACCGACATTGAAATACTGTTTTGTTCATATGAGTTAATGGTGGAAGCACTAATATTGAAATAATTTTAAAAGGGATGGGACTAAAATGTTTGTGTAAATCTGTTGTAAAATTAATTAAATAAAATTTAATTGTGCATATTCTTATTTTTGATTTAGAAAATTTTTGATAAAGTTTCTTTAACTACTGGAACATTGATTTAAAATCTGATGATAAAAATAGCCTAAACATTACAGTTACAAAGTTATAATTTTTAACACTTAAATTAACTGAAACTCGTTTTATTTAGTTAAAAAATTCCTTATTATCTAGTTATTGTAATAACAGAAATATTTCCAGTAAATATTACATCGTAACAATGTTACAAAATTAAAGATTATCTCATAACACTTACTTGACGCAAAGTATTATAAATTATCGATGCAAATAAACACGAGTTAATGCAAAATGAACGTGTTTATTAGCCTGTGAGCAATTTTAAGCTGATATTAAGTGGTCTACACGGTAAATGCTGATCATTTAGTATCTTAGAAGATGCTTTATAGTAAGGTCAATACACTGTGTTTCTAGTTTGTAACTCTATTATGAAGCTTCAGGCACGCACAAATGTATGCTTATCGATATAGCTAGAATTCTAGACCTTGTACAGTACAATATCAAGTTTCATGACACGTGAGATGAAATAGATAAAAAGATCCTCGCATATGCATGTTTGTCTACAGCCTCCAACAACATAAGACTATTACTGTGTACAGTGCACTTAGAACTATTTTTTTGAAACATGAAATTTTTCTCTTTATTCAAATATACATGGCGGGCATACAGCTTTTCCTTTATTGTAAAATTTTATTAATAAATTTCTACACTTAACCCTCAATATAATGGTGCACTATCTTGTTGGAAAATTACTGGCAAGCATTACAAAAAGCTTCAACGTGTTCAAGTATGTGCTAGCTTTTGCTGATTCTTCAAAAAGAAAGAAAGAAAAAAAAATGGAAAGAGGGAAAAAATTTAACATTTCTTTATCTTTTGGTGAAACCAAATGCTGATAGTTTTAACGGATTTGAAAAAGAAAATTTTATAATAAGGGAAAGATCTTATACCCAATCTGAATATCTGTTATTTATTATGTTAGATTATGCAATGGCCCCACCAGTGGCCGAGTGAATGACTGACCATGCGAACTGACTGACCATGGGCATACTGACCGTAGGGGGTTGGTGTTTCACCAACGGCTGGCTACGTGAAATTTTCTGAGTTTTCACGTGTCTAACACCTAAATAGGGGCCAGTTTCTCATACAAAGTTCTTCTGGAAGGAAGGACTTTGTATGTCCTTCCTATGGATCCTCTCTTGTCAGATTGCCCATATATTGCGTTGCCATATTTCTTCAAATCAAACCTAGATTATGCAATGGGTATTTTGCCTAACTCAGATAAAGATAATCCATTACCTAATCTATTTAGTTCTATGTCTATATATTGCATAAATATATGTTCTATATAAAATCCATCATTTCATATTTAAACGATGTTTCGAGAGATCAAAATAATAATGATATGCAATCTTTGAATTAATAATTCATAATTGTTAAATTGATCTTTTGCATTTCGTGATTAATTGCATCGCGTGATGATCGCAAAGTTTCAGTTTATTACCAAAATTCATATTGAAATTTTGTAGTCTCATCACAAAAGAAACTTGATATAGTCACTAAATTAGATCACAAAGTAAAATATCCTAGAATCATGCAAGTAAATTGGTTTACTCACTTCAAATAAATTATAGATAATATAATAAAAGAGAAATGGAAGTAATTATGAAGATAAATATGCATTAAATTACAAGAGAAATGTAAAGAAAAATTAGAATAAACGAATAGCATTAATATTTAATCTAAACACTTCTATATTTTTGAAATAATGAATTGTAGCAGAATATGTTTATTCAAGTAATTAGTATAATACATTTCCATTTCTCTGATTATAGAATATGAAAATTTATATAATTGAAACAGTAAACATTAATCTAGTTTTAATCAAAACTTACCTTTAATTATAGCGTCCAATGTTTACAGAACTTCAGGTATCTAGAAATCCGTAGGGTATTTATTTTTTGAGGACCCTACTATATTAAAAAATAAAACAAAAATTGTATATTTTTGAAATAATAAAATTTGACAAAAAGTCAAAGATATTTTCTTACGAATAATTTATAACAAAAGTTTTGAGCATTCTATAAATGTGAGGCCTAAACCAAATGGCTCTGCTGCTCAGGCTATTGTAGTCTGAAGTTTTATACATTTATTTATGTTTGCATAATTTATGCTGATATAGATACTTTATACTATAGAGTAGGCCCACATCTAAGTCTATATTAACATAAATAGTGTTTTATTCTTGCCAGAGAGTGTAAGCCTTGTCAGAAGCAGTAGTCCTTGCCATACGGTATAGCCTTTACATCAATTATTATAAATAGTAAAATAAACATTGTTCATTTATTAGAATCATGTCATGAATATTTACAAATGTTATAGCCTCTATATATATGAATGCCTATAGGCCTATATATATAGAGGCATTAATAATCTTCAAATATAATTTCTGAAGTGAATGATAAATCTGTTTAATGCTTGTTAATGGCAAATATTTTGTTTATAAAATCGGCTTACTTATCTGAAATTTTGATTATATTGTTTATCATTTTAATAAAATAAACGTGAAGTATATAATTTCATAATAAATAATAGAACGTAATGTAATTTCTTCGTGATTTTAGTTATGAAATAATTGAGAAATAGCAGATGGCGTATCAAAATAAAAATTTTCTTTAGATTTTATATACAGTCAAATCCCTGAACGATGGTCACTGACAGAAACAGAAGAAACAGTTTCTTCTACGTATTTTTTTACTGTGTAAATATCATCGGCTATTTTTAATTAATAGAAAAAATAGTCATTGTTTGCAGATTATTTTCTGTCTGTTCAAAAAAGTTCGTGAAAAATGATCGCTGTTTAGAGGTGGCCGTTATTGGAGATTCGACTGCACTTAGGCTAACTGTTTAAAAGTTTTATATACAGTATTTTTATACTGANACGTAATTTATCATGCATTAATTAATTATTTTATTAAATTAAATAATTAAATTTGCAGAGGAAAACATTAATAACATATTTTTTAAAGAACTGTACAATAAAATATTCAGTTTTAATCTTTTATTTAGGAATAGCCTAAAGGGTGGCTCAAAAGCCAGTTAACCGAAAGACACTTTAATAATAAATTTCGGCTAACTTATTTTTGAGCCAACATTTATTTTACACTAAAGATATACAGAAATGATAGCATTTCATTCATAATTGTAACAGAAATACATTATTTTTCTTAAGAAATAATTAAATGAATATTATAAATAATTTCATTATACATCTATAATTGAAAAATGTATGAAAATATTTACTTAAAAACAAAGAAAACGAAAAAGTAATCTTGAGAAATTGGTGGAATTAATAGAAAGTAAACTGATTTAAATGAAAATTGTATAGAAACTGTATAAAAATCGATAGATATATTTTATTTCTTTTCTTTCTCTGCATGAGGGAAAATAATAACAAATGGAGAAGACACAACAACATTATTATGTAAGAACTTTCAGGTCACGCCTGTAAATTATTCATATAGAGAAATTCAGTATAAAAAATAAAATGCAATTTATAATATCGTTACATTTATTATTTCTCATCAAACGAAATGATTTAAATTAAATTCACAAACTGATGTCGTCATACTTATTTTACTCTTTCCGCCCTGTAACGCTAAGAACTTTTTAAAATCAAATCCATCGTGGATTCGACCAGCCCCACAAAAGAATTGGCCCGACAGCCCATGAAAAATTCCTGGGGTTATTTGACCAATCCCGATCCAGGATACTCCAGTACGGTAGTGTGTCACTGACATTACATTTAGAA